GGATAGTGACATCGGTTTCCAGGGGTCGATATTAGCCATTATGGGAACCACTGATCGCAGATTTCATCAGCTATTGACTAGCGTAACATTGTGATGAAATCAGTGTCGAGAACGAATGACTACTAATAACTCACAAGTTATCACAGAGCGTATATCATATATTTAAAAGTACAAATATAATTTAGTGAAAAGTCTTAACCAAAAGTATAGTGTAAACATAACAGCTGGTTAGGTGGATATAACCGCCGGTCACAGAAATTAACAGGTGGACCAATAAGAATAATCAAAATGCAAGCTAAATGTCTATAACAATTGTAGAGCTCGAGTTGCATGTTTGTGTGTCCTAATCGGTCGTGTGTCTAACATGATTTTCTACGAGATTTACAAATCAGCTTGCTGCGCATGGTATATTGGTCTGCAAACAGATATCGAATGACGGAAGACAACAACAAAGAAAACGAAAACTTGAGTAAAAAAATATATTGCCAAGCTTATTTTTGTTAAAGAAAATGCATAAACAAAAATAATGTTACAGTGCACTAGATAAAAAAAAAATAACTCAGATCGTGAGGAGAGCGTTTAGTGGTCCTTCATGTGATACTGTAGTGCCAGTTCGCAATGTTCAAAGAGGCATGAACTTTGCCAAGATCCTCAGGCTTTAATCGCTCAAAGCCTTTTTTTCACCATTGATCTTAGGAAACGGTTATATGCAGCTGACAGTTTAGATATTTCTGAATAGGTTTGGCGTCATGCATGACATCCAAATGAAAGTCTGGCTGAAGGACTTCAACAATACGTATTTCGACGCACGAAATACACTTATTTATAGACACGATTCAGCATAGTGATTCATTAAGCGTAGCTTACGTGTGGCACAAGGCGGTAAGTATTGGAGCACCAAGTGAAGATCGAACTCACTACTCAGTCATAATAGATTGAGCAGGACAAGCTTGCTTTTACACTATAATCTTCTTCAGTGTATCGTGTTCTCTCAGAACAGAAATGATCATGGCTCTCTACAACTTCCTGTTTCTTGTAGCTCTTCATGAACTTTATCTTTCTGTTAATTCTCCTAAGTCCTGTTCCGCCATCCATTTGCTCAAGTTCGTTAAATATGTTATACGATTTTTCCTGTCATCCTTGCCCTCTATCTGTCCCGTGAGTATTTGATTTTCCAAGCCCCCTTTCCTCGTTGTGTGGCCAAGAAACCCCAACCCTTGAATATAACATGAAACATAGGAAAAAAAAAACGCCGAGCATATAACCATTGCAAGTGATATTGGCTCAATCAGAGGCGATCAGAATTCAATCAACAAAATATAGCCAATTGAATACACTAAAATTTAGCACTACTTATATTTATGGCTCTTTCATTTTTATGTACTGCTACGGATTAATCATTAAATGCATTAAAAGAAGCTATAGTGATTATTTTATGTAAAAAGAGAAATCAACAGCAATAAAACTTTAAAACGCTTCCAGAAACTTAATTACTTAAGAGGGGACCAAGAAAGCAAACATGTTAACTCGATCCTATATCTGCTCACTTTAGACTAAAATTAGAATTTGAATTTTTAATTTAATCAAATTTCTAATGTCTTCTTTTTATATTCATGGTGAATATTCATTTGTTATCCGCGTGTTATTGATAGACATTTAAACCAAGGTTTTTCTCCTCCCCCCACTATATATAATGGTCAGTTTTCAATCCATGCCCGACGCTTACCACAGGAATGAAACTCAGAGTTGTACCAAACGGCGAGGAACAAAATGCATATTATTAGTTTAAAGTTTAGCTCTTATTTTACATCAAGCACTATTTTATTACCATAAGCATTTAATGTATGTTATTATATATAAGAAATATACATAATACCTTACATTGATTACACAAATCGGCATGAAACTCAGAGTTATACAATCAACGTAAGATTGTATGTATATTTCTTAATATATTTAACATTAAGCAGTGTTTTTCTTACACTATATATTTTCTCATATATATATATATATATATATATATATATATATATATGTGTGTGTGTGTGTGTGTATACGAACGCTCGCTCCTGCATTTGCCTATTTATCCATTTGGTTATAAACTATATTTTATTATATATATATATATATATATATATATATATGATAAAGTATAGTTTTATTTTTATGTTATTAAAATTAATTGGTTTTCTCCATATGCATAGAAATTAATATTACGAATGTATATGCTTATGAAGCTCCGTAAATTTCAAAATTCTTTATTCCAAAATTCGCTTGAGGATGAAACAGAACAATTAAATTTAATTTAATTTCTATAATTGAATTGAAGATTTTAGCTTCTGTTTTTGAAACATGAGAACTCTTATGCAGCGATGGAATCATATTTTTTTTTTTTAAATAGTTATAATTATAATATAGGCTCTACTTGTGTATCGAGCACTGGTTTTTAAAAATAAAAACAAAAATACTAAAGAACTTTGGATTATTAACCTAACGGTTCTTTCTTATTTTTCTATATATTTGCGCGCGCGCACACACACACACACATATATATATGATAAAATATAGTTTTAAGCTATGCTATATTTATCGATTATATTGCTCAATATCAGATTGAGAGCGTATGTAAATATAAAAGTGGACATGGGAGTCAACACCCAGAGGCGACAGTCTGTTTCATGCTTAAATGCAATCGTCAGGCCATACTTAAGAGGGGACCGAAACAACGCATATGACCTGAAAATTGTATTTAAACATAAAACAGATGTCCACTTTTATTTATATATCGTGGGTATTAGGGAGTTCGGAAAGTAATTAAGTATTTCAACGATATAGATTATGAGTCTAACCGAGGCTGAATCGTAGGAAAATGCATTTAGAATTAGTTTATAATCTCTTCTATCCGACAGTGTGTCGTTTATAGTGCATTTCAAATTTTAATTGGGAATACTTGCAAAAATGCTCTCTATTTCCAGTATTTTTTTTAAACATAAGTGCCAACCATTATTGTTGAATCGCATTGTTGCAGGAAATAAAAAATGGCTTGTTAATGTCAGTGGAAAACGAAAAAGACAATGGTTATCACAAAATGAGAAATTAGTGTTATCCCCAAAACCAAGACTGCATCAACTTGTTTTGTGTCTGTTAGAATATGAAAAATGTCGTCCATTAAGATCCAATGGAACATGGAAGGACCATCACTGCAGACATCTATTGCCAGCAATTTGATCTGTCAAACGAAGTATGATATATTATCTAACCTGAAAGTATTTCGAACTTGGCACCATCTGCAAGTTTATGCGCTGCTTTTACCAAAGCTTTTATCTCGCGAGCATTTGGTTGTGATGCATGTGCTTGATATACCCCTATCAGAAATGGGCGTCAGATATCACCATTCCAGCAAATGAAAACTGAAGGAGAATGAAGGCTGGGAAAATATATGGATCTTACAAAAAAAAAAAAAAAAAATCTGAAAAATTCTGTTATATGAAAGTAATAATTGTTCCTATCTTTATTGGAGGACCAGGAACAATCGTAAAGAACCTTGTAAAAAAGATGAGAAAAATCGGAATTCAGAGGAAGAGTTTAAAAATAGCAAAAAATCATTAAAAATCATTAAGAATACTGAGGAAAGTCCTGGAGTACTAAGGAGATTTTCGGACACTTGATCTCTAGTAGAGGTCATTACTTACTATGAGTGCAAAACTTGAAAGAGTATAAGCAGTAATAGAAAAATGTATATCTATGTATAGCTGGCCCCTCGTATTCGAGGATACCCGTCTATTAGGGCGGCTAACCAATCCCTATTACAGACGCTTGATCGGGTGCATTTGTGTTTATTCAACACCCACAGAGCCCACTCGTGGTTTATACTTTACGAGCAGACCTTAGTTACAGTTTCTGGGAAAGAGCTTGTTATCTAGCGTGAACAACAATTTGAACAAGGCCAGCGCGTTCAAGCCCTCGGCCACGATGACTTGTGGTATGGTTTTCAGGCACTTTCCAAAGGTGCCGCACGCTGGTATCTACCCCTCCAGTCGGATAACATCAGAAAGTCTCCTTCCTGACAAATCGACCGCGGTGAGATTCGAACCCGGGTCTCATAGTCAGAATGCGAACGTTCTAACTCAGTCATATGCCCATAATAAATAAATAGATAAAATAGTGTATGTATTATTATTAGTTCTTATGGCAATTGTAAATAGTTTTAAGTCAGTGCTGGATTAACCTAGTAACAAAAATAACAAAGATGTCTGGTAAAATCGGTTTCTTACGATCCGGCAATATTTACATATTGGAAGAGCTGTATTTTTAATTATTTATAATTTCAGTTAATATTATATCAAAGTCGTTAAATCTACACAAATATATCGTTAGAATCAGTTGCGTCATATTTTCTGTTTTGGTATTATGTTAATAGAAGTTTAATAATTACTTGTTTTATAAGCTATCACGATATTATTAAATAATTTATGATTTAGTGCTTACAGGCCGAGAAATAACTCAATCTAACCCTGGCTTAAATATTATAATTGTAGTAGCACTGAATACTACAAGTTGTAGCTTATTGTTTTGAAAATGTGGTTGATATCATTTGTTGAGGGAATCAGTGGAAATAGTAGCGTTAGTATTGACCAAAGTTACGAGTCTTTGTTAAAAGTAAAACTATTAGTACTTCTTGTCACATCGTCGTAGTATAATCGTTAACAGGATCATTAACAGATTATTTGTAGTGAGTTCGATCTTCGCTGAGAGACCTTTGCTTATAGCCTTATACCAAAGCTCAGACTGTACTTAATAAAAACCGTGGCGCCTCAGCATAGATTAATACTTAACGAGTACGGTTGACCGTAAACAATGAGGTCGATCCTCACTAGGTGGCCTATAGTTATGATTCTGTGTCAAAACCAATCATGCTCATTTAATGCCAGCTATTAATGCTTCTACTGAACTTATAGACATCAATGAAGACCGACTTATTTTCATTATAAACACCGGACTTACGACCACATCACGTTGAAATACCGGTTCCCGTACATACACCGAAGTTAAGCAATGCCGTGTCAGGCCAGTACATATATGAGTGACCACTTGGGAATACCAGGTGTTGTAAGCTGAGATGTGCGGGTGGTGTAATGGCTCGGAATTGTTACTCGGGGAGCCGAGTTCCAATTCTCGTTTTGTTCTTTATAGTGATTTACATGCAAATACAGTTGGGAAGAGTAAGAATCTACTTAATAGTAGTTAATTAGTAAAACTTGTATCACTAAAACATTATCTTTGTCAAAAGGTAGATGAATCTTATTGTAGTGTATATGGCCAGCTAGCCCTATGACATGGCCTGGGCTCCACATACAGTGGGGAGGGGGGGAATAAATATTCGTATACATGAAAAATTGTATTTTTATAAATGTAAAAGCCTTAACTAAAACAAATTTTGACACATTTTATGTGTAAAAATATATTTTATTAAAAATAATAATAAACTTAATTAATTCTTATTCTAACAGAAATTAATGCATTTTTTTTCATTTTAACTGAAAAAAAAAGTATTCGTACAAAAAAAAAAGCAATTAACTTAATTTAATACTTTGTGGAATATCCTTTATTGAGTTCAACAGCGATCAGTCTATTCCTGTACGTCTCAACTAATGATTTGCACACATTGACTGGTATTTTGTCCCATTCTTCTTGGCATATTGTCTTCAAATTCTTGATATTTGTTGGTGCTCTTTTCCCAATTTGAATTTTCAAATATCGCCATAAATTGGGTTCAAGTCTGGGGACTTACTCGGCGATTGCAAGACATCAACGTTACTTTCAGCTAACCATTTCCTTGTAGATCTAGCGGTATGCTTAGGATCATTATCCAGTTGGAAAACCCAATCAGGAGGTAGCCAAAGTCTCTCAACAGAATGCATTGTCTTGCAGGATTTTCTGGTAGCTTTCGGCATTCATCTTGCCATCTATTATTGATATTCTGCCAACACCTTTTGCAGAAAAACAGCCCCAGATCATGATAATGCCACCACCAAACTTTACAGTTGGCAACGTATTCTTTGGTAAGTAGGCTTCAACGTCCTTCCTCCACACATGATTTCAATAATTATGACCAAACAACTCTATTTTAGTTTCATCTGTCCATAGTACTTTTTCCCAAAGCGAATATTCTTTATCCTTATGCTCTCTAATGAATTTTAGCCTAGCATCTCTGTGTCGTTTCAAGGAGGAGTGGAGTCTTCCTTGGGATGCGTGATTTCAGACTGTTTTTGTGTAGTTCATTACTTATTATACGCTTGGTTACTTTAATCCCTAATGCACGCAGATGTTCCTGCAGCTCTTCTCTAGTAACCTGTGGATTTTGTTGGATCTGGCGTCCTAATATCCTTGCTGATCTTAGAGAAATCTTCCTCGGAGCACCTGTTCGTCTTTGGTTTTCGACGCTGTTACGAATTGTCAACCAACATGACTTACAAGACGTAAGGAGGTGGTGGAGTAATGTTTTCGACTTTTATTGTTGTCCGTAAAATTTCGAAGTTAATGATGATAGAAGGTAAATTCATAAAATTATTTTAAGTTCACGAACAAAGTTAAAGTGTATATTAATTCAAGACAAGGTGACTGTTACTGTCGGAGTTAACTCCTCCTTCAGTTCGTAACCCTTTCACCAGGGGTCTCTCTTTCCTGGCTATAAATAGCCAATGACCCTTCGCCTCGATCTCTTTTTTCCTTTCAGGCCTGTGCACCAACACCTCGAGGTAAATTTCTCTTATTCCTAGAGGATTTCAACTATCAACCTCGAAATGTAGTCGCTAACAAGGAATAGCGTGGAAACACGCTAAGTACAATATACACACACGCACGCACGCACAGAATATTCACACACGCACGCACATACAGAATATTCACACACACTTCGTCCTTTGTACTGTTTCCATGTATTGTAACTTGTTAATAATATATATTTGTATATACATATATTATCGGTCTTGTTTTGTTTGATTTCTTTACCTTCTTCTTTGGACTTAATCAAAGTCCAACCTTTTTATGTAGTTGGGCTCGGCGGGCAGGAGTATCTGAACCTTGCGTTTCTTCTACGTCTGACTTCTATCAACAACAAGTGGCAACCGCCATTCCCACAACAAACCGTAACCGCCACGGCCCACTACATTACTTACCAAAAACCAAAATCTTCGTCCTGGATATGACGATAAACTACGTCCAACAGCAAGACCTCTGATCGGGAAGTTTTGAGCAGTGTGGAACCACCTATTAATTACTGGTGTTCCCAGGTCCACTCTGACCTGGGGTGGTAACACCTGTTAGGGTCCCAGCTATGAGCAAATAGCTAACCCCCAAACTGGGGTAAAAACACTATGAAAGTGTAAAAATAGGTTTTAATACTTTGTAAAAAAGTTATTAACAGCAATAAATTTTTGAAAATAAATATTACAAGCGATACATTTTTGAAGAAAAAATATTACCAGAAATAGATTTTTGAAGGAAAAATTTTTTTACCATCAATACATTTTTGAAAAAATAATATATTACCAACAATAAAAATTTTGTCGGCATTAAAGAACCCATTTAGGTTGATATGCCGTAAAACAAAACAAAGCAAACCATAAACAAAATCTTCCAAAGACACCAAATTCATGAAATATCTGTAGATATTAATCCCTCTCACAAAAATAATGTAATCTATAAAAAGGAAAACCTATATCCAGTGTGAGTCAATAAAACCTCCAAAATTTGATATTTTTTAACGTATAAATGGCTAAGACAAAAAATTAGTCACAAAAATGTTTTAAAATTGATAAAGTAAAGGTATATAAGAAGGAGATAAGTAAAATTTCATGGACACATAATGAAGAATGAGGTCTTGAAAAACTTAAATCTCACATGGCATATTAAGGAAAAGAGAGGGGAAGACAGCTAGCTTGTGTGAATGGCTGGCGGAATAGGGGCGGAAGGCTTGACAGAGGGAGAAACGCTGCTAGGGGACACGAGGATAGAAAGTTATAGAAAGCTATGATCATCCACGTCTTGTAAGGACATGACACCTAGAATAAGATGAAGAAAAAGAAGAAAGGTATACGATATGTTTTCATTTACTTTTTGAACATGATATTTTCCAAATGTTAGTCTCTATTCTCGATATACTGTTGAAGCCGATTTCTGAAGTTTTCCATTACCTGACGAGTCATTTCCAGTCCTATTTATGTTTGGCGTATAGCAGCCTTTAATTCGTCAATTGCTGTTTAATATTTGTAGATCTCAACTTAAGAAAATAATCACATGGCGAGAGAGAGGCAAGCATGCGAAGGAAGCTTAAGTGTTCGGGAACGGTTACCTTAAAACCTCCGTAACGAAAGAGAGCTATGGAAGAAAGGTTTATTCTCCCATTTACGCTTCTTCCGTTATGGGTATTATTATATCCGTGATATAATAACACCGTACTTTACAGACGGAGGGGAATGGCTGAAAGGAAAAGGAATGCTTTGTTCTTAGAGAGACTTTTATAACACTAATACACATATACATAGGAATGTCCCACGCGGAGAATAATATATCACATATATCTACACAACAATGCAGAGTGTAAGGAGAAACAATAAGGAGGATGTCTTACATATATTATGGAGATACTTCTGTGTCTGGAGAAGCCATCATTAGCAGGGTCAGATTCATCTACTATATCCCAGGAGAGAACATATTCCACGCAGGGAAAACGGTGAGTCTTGGATTTTCCCAAATTGAGGACTTCGAGCAGGAGTTTCTTTCTATACCTAGAATGATATATTCTCAAAGGGAAACGGCATCATGGACTTGTAAGCTGTAGCCTTTAGCAGGACGAACAGACACGTGTGTTTTGACACCAGTAAGCTTACTGATTGGATGATTGGCCATTTTCGTCACTGTATGAAGTGACGTTACTAAGGAGCCATTATGTGACCCATGTGACTTATCTCCAACAAAGGGAGATAATCACCTCCTTAACTCTATGCCTTCATTGGTCTTCTCGCTGCTCCATCCTGTTGGAATCATACACACGTATTACCAAGTTTTGTGAGTTTGAGTTGCAGAAATTTTCGTAACATCTTCAAAAACATACCTATCGGAATTCACTGGAACCGTACGACGTTTCTCATCTTGAAAAACGTAAGGATTCCAAACACCCATATTTGCAACACCGCATCGCACGGTAACAAGTTTGCTGTTTAGAGATCATCTATGGAGCTGTTTGGGATTATTTGCCGACAAACAGTGAAAAGTCTGCTTATTGACGCAGCCTGACAAATGAGATTGGAATTTGTCGCTTGCAAAGAGAGAAGCATTTGCGGCAACATTCTAAAGGATACAGATGTATAAAGGAAACAAAGAAAAAATGTCGAAACACCATAACTTCGTAGTTAGCTTCATGAACACTACACCAATAACCGTGTCAAATACTGGCAAGTTTTATTGCTGCAATCTGTGTAAGCAAAGATATCTGGGAAGCAATAGCAATAAAAACTGCTGCAAGTCAACACAACAGAAAACAGTGTAATGAGAGAGAGCTATGGAAGAAAGGTTTATTCTCCCATTTGTATTTCCCCTGATATGGGCATTATTATATCCGTGATATAATGACACTCTACGGACGGAACGGAATGGTTTAAAGGAAAAGGAATAACAAATATGCTTTGTTCTCAAAGATACTTTTATTCCATTAAGACACACACAAAACTATATATACATAGTTACACGGGTGTCCCACGCGGAGAATAATATATCACATATATCTATACAGTGAGCAGTGAGTAAGGCGAAGCAAAAAATTAAGTGTCTTTTATATAATATGGAGATACTCCTGTATATGGAGAAGCCATGTTAAGGACTACAGATTCAAACAGACCAGATTCATCTACTATGTCTCAGGCGAGGACATATTCCACGAAGAGCAAACAGCTAGTCTTTGGTTTCCCCAAATTGAGGACTGCGAGCTGGATTTTCTTTCTATATCTGGGAAATATATATTCCCAAAGGGAAACGGCACAATGGACTTGTAAGTTGCTGGGAACGCAGATTTAACCTCTGCTAGGGCTAAAGAAAGCAACATGTTTGGCTGCTG